CCCCAGTGTCACTATCTGTGTCCCTTGCCCCCGCAGCTGCGCCCTACGCCGACGCTGTCCCTGTGTCCCCGATGTCCCCAATGTCCCCAATGTCACTAAGTGTCCCTTGTCCCCGATGTCCCTAACGCTGTCCCTTGTCCCCACAGCTGCGCCCCATGCTAACGCTGTCCCTGATGTCCCCAATCCCCCCGATGTCCCCAATCCCCCCACAGGAGGGGACAGCGGACAATGGGTAGGGGGCATTGGGGACATCGGGGGGTGGCAGGGAAGGTGACAAGGGAGGACACTGGGGCCATTTTGTGATGGGGAGGTGACAGTGGCGGTGTCCCCAGGTGATCACGCTGAGCACGTCCCCCGCGCCCACGGCCACCTCTCCTGTCACCACCACTGTCCCCAGCGTGCAGCCGCTGGTCAAGCTGGTGTCCCCCGCCGTCCCCAGCGCTGCCAGCGGCGCTGCCACCAGCGGCGCCACCGCTGTCACCGGCACGGTACAGAAATACATCGTGGTGTCCCTGCCCCCCGCCGCCGGCGGTGACACCAAGGGGGGTGGCACTGCCACCACGGCCACGCCGCCGCCCGGCCCCGCCCCGCAGCTGTCCCCCAGTGCCACCGGCGGCTCCCCGGTGGCCGCTGCCACCGCGGCCGCCGCGCCCAAGGCCGAGGCTGGGGACAGTCCCCAAGGGCCGGCGGGCAGCGCTGTCCCCGCGGGCAAGGGCAGCGGGACCCCCGGGCAGGGGACACCGGAGCCACCGGCGGGACAGTGACGGCACGGCGTGGCACCGGAGGGTCCCCAGGGGCACCAGATCCCCGCGGGCAAGGGCAGCGGGACCCCCGGGCAGGGGACACCGGAGCCACCGGCGGGACAGTGACGGCACGGCGTGGCACCGGAGGGTCCCCAGGGGCACCAGAGTGTCACCAAGGGGCACCGGAGTGTCACCGGAGTGTCACCAAGGGGCACCAGGGGCACCAGAGGGGTCCCAGTGTCACCAGAGGGGGTCCTAATGTCCCCAAAGGGTCCCCAAGGGGCACCAGTGTCCCCAGAGCAGTTCCAATGTCACCAGGGTGTCCCCAAGGGGCACCAGAGAGGTGCCAGTGTCCCCAAAGTGTCCCCAGAGAGTTCCCAGAAGGTCCCCAGTGTCCCTAGATGGGTCCCAATGTCACCTGAGGGTCCCCAAGGGGCACCAAGGGTCACCAGAGCCGTCCTAATGTCACCAGAGGGGTCCCAATGTCCCCATAGGGTCCCCAAGGGGCACCAGGGTGACCAGAGGGGTCCTAATGTTACCAAAGGGGTCCCAGTGTCCCCCAGAGGGTCCCCAGAGGGTCCCTAATGTCCCCAGAGGGTCCCCAGTGTCCCCAGAGGGTCCCCAATGTCCCCAAAGGGGCCCCCGGGACAGGAGGGGACCCCCAGGCTGGGGACAGGGGGGTGGGGGGCCCCAAAGTGTCCCCAGAGTGTCCCCAAGGTGTCACTGGATCCCTCTGGGGGGACACAGAGTGGCCTGGGTGTCCCCAAAGTGTCCCCAGAGTGTCCCCAAAGTGTCCCTCCATGGGGTCAGGGGGGACTGGGTGTCCCCAAAGTGTCCCCAGAGTGTCCCCAGAGTGTCCCCAGAATGTCCCCAAGGTGTCACTGGATCCCTCTGGGGGGACACAGAGTGGCCTGGGTGTCCCCAAAGTGTCCCCAGAGTGTCCCCAGAGTGTCCCCACATGGGGTCAGGGGGGGCTGGGTGTCCCCAAAGTGTCCCCAGAGTGTCCCCAAAGTGTCCCTCCGTAGGGACAGGGGGGGCTGGGTGTCCCCAGAGTGTCCCCAAAATGTCCCCAGAGTGTCCCTGGGTCCTTCCGTGGGCACAGGCTGTCCCCAAAGTGTCCCCTGGGACCCCTCTGGGGAGAATGGGGGGGTCTGGGTGTCCCCAGAGTGTCCCCAGAGTGTCCCCTGGACCCCGCGGTGTCCCCCGCGGCTGTGTGGAACTCAATAAACTCCTCCCAGTTCCTCCCAGTTTGTCCCATTGGGGACAGAGGGGACATGGGGGGGACACAGGAGGGGACAGCGGACAATGGGTAGGGGGCATTGGGGACATCGGGGGGTGGCAGGGAAGGTGACAAGGGAGGACACTGGGGCCATTTTGTGATGGGGAGGTGACAGTGGCGGTGTCCCCAGGTGATCACGCTGAGCACGTCCCCCGCGCCCACGGCCACCTCTCCTGTCACCACCACTGTCCCCAGCGTGCAGCCGCTGGTCAAGCTGGTGTCCCCCGCCGTCCCCAGCGCTGCCAGCGGCGCTGCCACCAGCGGCGCCACCGCTGTCACCGGCACGGTACAGAAATACATCGTGGTGTCCCTGCCCCCCGCCGCCGGCGGTGACACCAAGGGGGGTGGCACTGCCACCACGGCCACGCCGCCGCCCGGCCCCGCCCCGCAGCTGTCCCCCAGTGCCACCGGCGGCTCCCCGGTGGCCGCTGCCACCGCGGCCGCCGCGCCCAAGGCCGAGGCTGGGGACAGTCCCCAAGGGCCGGCGGGCAGCGCTGTCCCCGCGGGCAAGGGCAGCGGGACCCCCGGGCAGGGGACACCGGAGCCACCGGCGGGACAGTGACGGCACGGCGTGGCACCGGAGGGTCCCCAGGGGCACCAGGGGCACCGGAGGGTCACCAAGGGGCACCAGAGTGTCACCAAGGGGCACCAGAGTGTCACCAAGGGGCACCAGGGGCACCGGAGGGTCACCAAGGGGCACCAGGGGCACCAAAGGGGTCCCAGTGTCACCAGAGGGGGTCCTAATGTCCCCAAAGGGTCCCCAAGGGGCACCAGTGTCCCCAGAGCAGTTCCAATGTCACCAGGGTGTCCCCAAGGGGCACCAGAGAGGTGCCAGTGTCCCCAAAGTGTCCCCAGAGAGTTCCCAGAAGGTCCCCAGTGTCCCTAGATGGGTCCCAATGTCACCTGAGGGTCCCCAAGGGGCACCAAGGGTCACCAGAGCCGTCCTAATGTCACCAGAGGGGTCCCAATGTCCCCATAGGGTCCCCAAGGGGCACCAGGGTGACCAGAGGGGTCCTAATGTTACCAAAGGGGTCCCAGTGTCCCCCAGAGTGTCCCCAGAGGGTCCCTAATGTCCCCAGAGGGTCCCCAGTGTCCCCAGAGGGTCCCCAATGTCCCCAAAGGGGCCCCCGGGACAGGAGGGGACCCCCAGGCTGGGGACAGGGGGGTGGGGGGCCCCAAAGTGTCCCCAGAGTGTCCCCA